TAATGAATAATCATTTAAATGGTTTTTTTCCTGTCATTACTGCAGTAATTTTCAACTCGGTAGGTAAACGAATTTATACTCTGCACGTGAGCACAGATATGTACAGGGGTGATAGGTACAATTATTGTACGATAAAATATTATGATAATGATATCAGGATTTTGATTTGGAACAAATGTTGGTAAAAACGATTCAGTTTATTGTAAACAGTGGTGTTTTGTTTTGAAATTTTTTTTCGCAATTTTAATCTTACCATATTGAGAGTATAAAACAACACTGAGAAACTCACTGCGTGTCACGTATATTGGTCAACCCGAAGATAAGTTCAATTAAAAATTAATTGAATACTCATGAATATTATCTTTAATGGAAAAATCGGATAAATATTTGTTTTAGATAGATTCCAAACTTTAATGGTAAATTACACTTTTCAATTCATATACCATTATATTTACTAAGTATATATGTAAATGGACCCTACGCAATTTCAACAACATCACATTTATTCGGTGAAACGTGGAAGACAATTAATTTATACATAGGATGTAAGGGACACATTTCGATTAACCCTGTTGCAGAGTATTGTTTTGTTGATTGTTTCTTGATTAATCAATATATGCTAATAAGTAGAACACTCTCGATACCACCAATAACAATTTCCATTCGTTTCGTACATGCGCGCATATATTCATCGGAATTGGATTCGTTCCAAGTTCAACCGAACACTTTCGAGAGTCAAGTATATTATACTCATATTATAATATTATGTATTTTTATTGTTTTTTCAGCTCATAAGTTATTTAGATTCAAGGAGCCCGTTAAACTCTACAGGTTTTTTTACTGTTTCTTTAGTCTGTAAAATGTACTATATTATATTATACACTATGTTGTAAGTAAAATTTAAAAACGTGTTAAAATCTGCCTCGTTTGCTTTTATGATGTATATAGATTTCACAGTAATTATATATTATTGAATTCATAAAAAAACATCTTCTCAGTGAAGCTCGAGAACGTATTCTATTATTCCACACTAGTGATTTTTACCCGATAATATCGTTCAGTATAAGAGACTGAAATCCAGTAAGTTTGGAATATTCAAGGCACCAATATTTCACGCAATATGGATGAAATTATCTGTATGCAAAAGCAAAGTGGTTTTTTTATAGTTAGAAGATCATTCATTTTTTTTAAAACCATATAATAATGTTAACAATTATCTGTGATCGCTAAACAATTTTTAAAAACGACCTTTGGAATGTAATATGAACGAATTGTGTGTCCATAAATAATTTTTAAGACAGCTTAAAAATATAAGTACTAAGAAATAAATATCTGGGTTTATTTACATGTAACAATATTCCCTAACAATTATTCAAATAATTTGATAAGAAAAGCGAGAAATTGGGATAGTAATAATTCATTTATTTAGAGTAATTATTTCACAATTAATGTTTAAACAATCATTCAAAAAATACTTTTCATTTAAGTTCGAAATTATTTCATTTGGGTTACAAAACTACAAAATCAATTTTATTTCATCATCTACTTATTGCGCAGAAGAAGTTTTTTAAATGAAAACAAAACTGTAGTCTGCGACCAACACTAATAAATACAACTTTATAAACCGAGATAATTTCGTCTTTGGTAAATCGTCTATTATTCCTCTTTCTATTCTACAGTGTAAAGTAAAGTAAATTTTCTACAAAAAATTAGAAAAATCGATTGTAATTTTCATGCATACGACAATGTATTCAATTTATAAATAGGTAATTTGTTGAACCTTAAGTATTTATTTATATGCAATTATATGTCTATTGTATGTTTATGAAACTTTAAAGTTGTTGTTAACTATTCCCAATGATACGTATTAGTATTATTGGATCTAATATTGTTAGCTATTATATTATAATACTTTAGACACTACAGTATACAACTATACAAGATAAATAAATAAATAATAATATTTATTTGCCGATAACAGTGTCTTCGAAACTTTACTCAAACCTAGTGGGAATAAAATTGAGTGGGTATAACCACCGACAACATCCATTAACTTAATACCGAAACCGTATGTATAAATGTTAAAACTGTATTATGTTGATTACCTGAGGAGTGGTGTCGCTAACACGGCGATGCCGTCACCTAAAACTCAACACGTGTCAAATGTCCTGTGCGAACTGTTTCGGCATATTATTATATAATATTGGAAAGTCTCGCGGCATGTGCATGTAAATACATAATTCTTATATATTATTGAACTGACACTATTATTAATATTTTATTCCATTACTTAGTGCGATAACATCATTTGTATATAATATGATATATCATAATAACTTACCGATATTCAACATTTACCTACAATATTATAATGGAGGTGCAAGCACCGTGAGGTCCATAATAATATATTACACGGATCGATGCGTTTTACGTATAATATGATAATACATCACAAATATTTACATATTATTTAAATGTACTCACTATATATCGTATATTAGTCGTAAACTCGACACTCGAACCAAGAATACGTATACAATATCCGTTATAAATTCCATTTGTCTGTCTTAACCGGCAATACTTATACGTTCTACGTATTGAAAACGTTTTGCTAACAAAATGTTTTATTTTTTTTGTCTCAAATTATATACTCAAAAATATTTATTCTGTTGAATATTTACGAGTTGCACCACCACATAAATTATATAGTACGGAGCGTTACACACAGTAAATTTGTCACAGACTTTTTTCCAATTCACCTTTTCTCGAACACGACTTTTGCAAATTTTTACCGTATTCAACATAGCCACGATTTTCCTAAATACAATTTAAAATGTAAAACTTCAGAAGCTATATCCGTGAATGTTTCAGAACAAAAACCGAATAATATTTAATTCCTTGAAAACTGTCACTAAATTTGTTTACAACATGAAAATAATATAATATAATGTATACGAGAATACGCTGATCGGATAAAAATAATTTTTTTGTTTCAGTTGGAATAAAAATATCAATATTTTTTTTTTTTGATAAATTAAAATTTTGAAAGTACGTGACTGACGGGGAAAAAAACCGGCAGGGACACCATCGCATACATTTATAATACTAGTATATTGTATATTTGTGAACCAAATGATAGAAAATAAGCTCAAAGGACATTATAATATTTTGTCCGACAGGCAGGCCCGGATTTAACCCTTTGGGTACCTACTAAAGGCGGTTCTTCCGAGTAAATCTCTTAGGGTCGCACAAAATCTATACAAAAATATTACACGCGTTATCGAGTTATTAATATTACCCTTTTATTATTATACCTATATTACCCTATATTTTCGTGGCGTTTGAAAACCGATTATATCAAATTGTATGTTCATTGTAACATATATTATTATGAATTAAACCCGAGAGTGATGTCATAAAATTGTAGGTAGGTAACTATATATATTTTTATTAATTTTCGCTTATCAATATTATTCTTTATTGATGTTTTATTTTAAAATTGTTTACAATAAATGTTCGGTTTATATATAGGGTAGGATTTAAGCACTCTGTAAAATGTTCATATCACGTTCATATACCTAGGCATATAATTGTATGAATCGTATACATCCATGGCCCGTCAATTACATCGCGGTTATTCAATTGAAATATAACATACAGATATATGCATACTAAATAGAGTATACAAGTATAAACTATAATTATTTATAACAATACTGCGTGTATTGTATAGGTAGACAATGATATACAAATAATAATATGAAATAATGCACGAGATTTTAAAGTGGATATAAATTATTTTTCCAGGTTTATACGTTTGTTAAGTCACTAGAAACCTCATATTTTAAAATAATGATTTATTTCTTCCGAGAAAAAAGAAAATTGAAAGTAAAAAAACAACACAAAAGTGTGTTGGTACCTAATTTCATATAATTTCAATAGTCGAATGGTTATATCGGATAGCTTTTTATTACCTAATCAAATTCCATCCGTACAAAATATAGTTTTTTTTTGTTTTAATCGAAAGTTGTATTTGCTTACAACTATACAGTATACACTATGATTTTTTTTCTGACGACGTGTTGCAATGGTCTATTACGTTACCATATTATATCAATATCATTATAAGTAGTCTATATAAATTATACTATATGTGAACGAACGAAAACGCCAGACACTAATATTGCATTTCGGGGTGGGGCGATCATCGAATGATTTAGGGGCTCGGAAGGGTGGCTACATTTGAAATATGAGTGACTTTTCGTTGACGTTATATTAACCTGCAAGCACGCCTACGCGACGCAGACTTATTATGACCATTTATGTATGATGCGTAATTACATTATTCTATGAAATTAGAAGTACCGAAACTATCAATATAATTTAATACGCAATAAATCATATTTAATTAACAATATTATTATAATGACGTACAGGATATTTAAAACAAACTGTCCAATTACACGGAATAACACGAGCATGACGCGATCTATAAGCTTATTGCACCTAAATATCGAGGTGAAGATTTCTCAATAACCATATTACAACGGACTTAAAAACGTAAAACGTCCACTATTGCAAGTTCCGGTATAAGTACCAGACCTAACCTAGCCTATATAATTCATACTATACGTTGTCATTTTAATTAGCATGGCATGATAATATTAGAACATCGATATAGAAGAAATTCGTGGATTGGGAGACAATAAGTTATTATTAGTAAAAAAAGTTATAGCGATATAATATCTATTTTTTTGTCGTTTCGTTTTCAGTATCCCCGACAGACTTCGTCACTACTGTACCCGGTTCAAAGCAAGCGGATCCGAACACAAGAGAAAATCATTACAGGTGAAGGGTTTATATTATTATAACGAGTACATTACATACATAGTATAGTACAATATATTTACATATCTTACAACCGTGGTCTCTCGGGTGTATTCACGATAATGTTTATATTGTACAGACGATGATCATCATTTTAAGATCGTATATGTATAATGTTTACCATCGTGGTCACGACCATTGTTCATAACGTGTTTGTGTTTCCTTATGTTTATATAGACTGTATGACCGTGTGGTCCGAAGAGGGCCACCTGTACTACAAATCGACAGCCAACGATCCAACAGTGTGCGGCATTTACATAGTAGCGAAACCAGAGCAGACGGTCCACGTTTACTTCGATTACGTAGACGTACCCTGCAATACCGGAGGTTTAATAGCGGTAAGTGTCTGGGCGTAAGTGGTGTTGAGGTGAATATTATAACAATAATAATTACATAGGTATATGAGCATATTATTATGTACTTATAAACGTCATAACAGACGTCTCAAAAATAAATTTTATTCGTGATCGTATTTCATACAAATAATCCAAAATTACAATACAATTATGACACATAATATTGTTATGTAATTTATTTTCCAAAAGTCGTTATCAATACATTTTTATAATCCAACACTACCTAGTAAAAGTAACAATATTATATTTAATCAAAATATGTTTAATAATGTTATTACTAAAAACATAAGAAGCTGAATTTGTAATGTCAAATTAAGTTAGAACTTGAGTTTAGGGTATCCGATTCATTAGAAAATATTACGAACAAAAAGTAATATGAAAAATACAAAATATACCATAGGGATTCAATTAATCATATTTTATAATCTCGATAATATCTCAGACTTGAGAGCTCCAATCACCGAGAAACTGGTAGATGAAAATAGGGAGAAAACCTCGAAAACCCTTTTAAAATAATTAGGTACTATAATAATACATCAACGTGTTAAATAAAAGTGAGATTCGAGATTAAAATAACATAAAAATAATCACTCTGACGACACTCATATATTTTATCTAATATTATAGTTTTATAATAACTGATTTGCAGGCCGATTTACAATGCATGCTCACCATCCTTGGACGGTAATAAGATATAATTTATAGTCTTGTATAACTACCTACTTAATATAGGTACTCGGACAGTTTTTACTTTTTACAGATTATAAAATGTTTATTATATAATATTCCAATCATAATAGCCCTTGTAAAATATAAATTGACTATCGTGGACTATTATGCTTAGACTAAGAAATTTAGTAGTCACAGTAAGACCCCGCAAGTCTAAACCCGTCAGACAACCTCAGTAATCTGAAATTTTTTCTCTTCATCTTTCTGATATACCTACGAGATGTTCCATTATTGAATTTGACTTTAAATTATGCCCGATATTATGGAAAATTATTATTAAAATGATTATGGAATTTTATTATTAAAAACAAAAAACATTAGGTATACAATAGTATCGTTACATTTATAAATTATAATTAAATATGTACGATGTATAATATCATACAAGCATACATTTTTGAATTGATTACCTATATACGTTGTTTATTTTTTCGTCAAACCCTCAATAAACCATTTCAATCCGACAACCCCGGGTCCAATATAATTCTGACTAGGTATTATAGTACTTAAAATGTAATACATTATTTAAAAGTAACTCAATCGAATCATGTTTAATTATATCATCAGATTTAGAATAATTGACCGTAAAAAGCATGGTTCTCATTTAAGGGGCCTGCTCGCGATTTTTCAAATTTTCCGCAATTCTATAAAATTTGAAAATTAAATTTTATATTTTAGTTGCCACCTCAATTATAAGACTTTTCCACTAATCTACTACCCAATACCTATTTAGGGGGGGTTGATAGGGTGTATTATATCGGTCAAAACACAGTTTACAGGAAAAACTCTCACACCTCGTAGATTGGTCCGATTTCCGTAATTTTTTTTTTGTTAGATAGAGGAATATTTTTTACAGGGCGCATTGGACTTCGATTTTTGATTACGTCGCTAAAAACAAAAAATAATACAAAAACTAAAAAGTTGTAAAAATTGATTAAATTCAAACTTGTAACATAAGACTTAGAAAAATAATGTTGAAAATCCAAGTCCAATGCGCCCTGTAAGAAGTCTTCCTCTATCTAACAAAAAAAAAATTACGGAAATCGGACCCATCTACGAGGCGTGAGAGTTTTTCCTGTAAGGCATGTTTTTGAGCAAAAAAACAGGTCGCGTGCAGGCCCCTTAAAAATATCGGATCACTGAACATTCTTTGAATGGTATAAAATATCTAAGTATTAGAAAATATATTTTATTAAGTATACTTAAAAAATTCAATTCAGAAATCTGATTTGAATAAATGTATAATTAAAGGAAAAAAAGGGAAATTAGGTACCACTCTGATGTACTGTATAGCTGTTGAGTGTAGCATGTCATTGAGTAGATTACTTCATAAGTAGGTACTGAATAAGTAGTAACTGTAGTCTGTAGTTCACTGTTTTTTTGTTTTTCCCAATTATTTAGAAAACTGAAAAGTAATGGTAATCTATTACTTTTGACTCCCCCCCTTCTAGAACCAACTAGATTTACTTTCCTATCAGAAAACTTGTCGGAGTTGAGAATTTAAGCAATACATTTACGCAAAATAAAAATTTAAAAAAACACACATCATTCTAAAATCAAAACATTCGTTGCTCCACTCAGAATATAAAATGTGGTTATATATTTTTGGATCACACTGTATAGGTAAGTACATATGTATTCATATAATGAACATCGATAAATATGTAAGTGAGTATTAATTGCTTACAGTATAATTTAAACAAGTAGAATACGAGTAGATATTATTCATTTTTTTCTGAAAAATGGTCGTATAATTAGGATTAATCATTGACATAAACTTTTTCGATCGCCTAACCATGTACTTAAATACTTTAATATAATATTGACATTTATTTAAATATTAATTCGTTTATATAATAAATGCAAATAATGTAAATTAACAGAGACACAATATGCATGAATTTATAAAGAATATTCATATTACTTATTTAGGTTTGAAAAAGTTATAATTACAACAAATTTACTTTTAAAAGTAGTTCCAACATGAATATTTATAATAACTGTTAATATATAAATATGACTTCAGAAATTACTTATTTGTGATCAAAAAGCATGTTCATTCCATTACTCATAATAAGTTTATTATACATAAGAACGTCTTAAATCTATTATATTAATTCTACTCAACATATTATCGTCTAATGACATATTCAATTCCCCAAAAAATAGTTACTAAATACTTTTAGGTGTCCACCTTGATAAAACAATCCCATATGAGATAATATGGATAATATCTCACATAAAGGTGTAAAACCACTATTAAGTGCAACTAAAATATCGAATATTTGTTTCCGTTATTACATCTAATCATTACAGCGTTGTGTTATTATCAATGCTTCTCGATTAGGTACCTATTATATACCTTATGGTAACCTCACTTTACATATAGATCTGAAAAATCCTGCGCCAACGTCATACTAAGTATTACAAACAATTTTATGATAACACTTTATTTCAATCATTCGAACCATTCTTCCATCACTCTAACAGTTGATCCATCTCGTCGGCTTAAATAGCACAGAGATCGTGTTAATTAACATATATCCATCATTCCTGATTAACCAATAAAGTTCATCTTGGTACTATAGGTAACTGTTACGATTTAAAAAAAAAGACAGTGGTCTGAATAGTATAATATTCTATATAGGTACATATTATTATATTATATTGAAAATTATATAGTTTTCTGACTACTATTTTTTTTTAAATCGTAACGGTTGCCAAGTGCCAAAATGAACTGGACGGGTTTTGTAAATAAATAGATTCTAAAAAAATTAAGTATAGTATCGTCAATGGGGAGTGTTCGCTTAATCCATGCTGTCTTTGTATTACTCATTGTATTAGTTTTAAACAGATTTTAATTATTCATAATCTAATAAAAAAAATTATTAATACACTGTACTGATTAAATGTTACTGAAATAGTTATAACTGAGGTTTGGAGAGAAGTAGCTTTTTGGATGTTATTGAAATGTCAAAAACAAAACATCTCCTGTACATAACATACTCGCAATCTTGTAAAAGATACTTTTAATTTGTATTTAAATAGAGATACAAATACATCAACTTAAAAAGTACTTAAATAGTATTTAAAGTACTTTTTTCAATAAGTATTTAAGAACAAATACAAATACTTAGAAAGTATTTAAACACAAATACTTATTTTAATACATTTGTTTTAAGTTTTACCTTTGGGTTCAATACTTTTTCTCTGATATTTTAACTTTAAATTTGACCATGAGATCAAACTCATTCAAACTGTACATATTAATTATTATTATATAGTTAATACTTAATAGTTCATATATTATAATGCATGTTCCATATTCTGGTACTAACCAAGGTACCTATAATTGTATGATAAGTTAATAATCACCTAATGATCGTTTTAATTATTTATTGTATGAGAACTAAATAGATATTATAAGAACCTTTATCTCCACAACAAACCTAGCTTCTGGAGAAAATAATTTATATATAAATGCTATATTTCTATAGTGAAAATATTTGTATTAATGTATATATTACGTACCTATGTATACTATTCAATTATTCAACAGGAAAAAAAATAAGATCATAGGTAAACGTAAAGTCGTAAACCGAATCAGCTGATCGAGTTTCGCTTCATTATTGTTCTATGTTTATAGTTTGGAGTTTCAAATAATTCACATCACAATAAACTAATATAGGCTTCAATGAAAAAAAAACAATAATATTTTGCATTTTAGGAGGCTATGTCGGGAATAAACTTACTAAATTTCAATGATATTACTCATGACTATATTATTATTTAGTCATGATATTACTTTGATTTCTGAGAAAAAAGATAATAAATAATCATTTATTATTGAAAAAATTCAAGTTATTGATTTTCAAATAGTATCGTCTTTAAAGTATTTTCAAAACTTTTAACAATATTACAAACTGCTATTGTCATACTCATAGTTATTATAAATTTATAATTGTAATATTATTGTATCAAAGAGCAGAGTGGACATTTCAATATATGGTATATTAATTTAAATTTTGATTTTGAGTGGGAGTGAGAAAGCTTTTACAGTAATTGCTTTATTTTCCAAAAAACCTTTTTGATCATTAAATGTACTATAAAAATGTCATATATTCATAACTTTTATTTATTTAATTGGACGTACAAACGTTATATAAAAGAGTAAAATGTTGAAAATTGGTACATTTGCAATTTTTTTTCTTTACATAAAACGTACAAATCATTAAAAACAACTCAGTACAGAATCACCATAAAAAAGTATTACCTATAATAATTTATGATTGATGTACAAGAGTGATGATGACACTGTGCTCAAGTGGCCGTGTATCCAAAAATAGGATTGTTTGCTTGAAAAGTATCAGGTTTATAGATAAGGTGTCTATAGACAGCAGTAATTAGCATTAGCAATCGCATACATATTACAATTATGTGATTTCAACTTAAAATGTGATGTTCCATGTTACCATGAAACATCGCTTGAACATCTATGGAATATGACTTTGCACACTGGGATAGGTACAATGCCGTTCAACCATTGAGTTGCTTCTTTGGGTAATACGTATATTCGGTACATACAAATACACTTTAAACCCAACATATTGTGACAAGTAATATACCTAATAATAAAACAATAGAAATCGAACAATTATTTCAGAAATCCATATTTTATTTAACTTATTTGTCTGATATATACCGATAGGGCTCTAGCCCACTTGTTCATACTCCTAAAACCTAAATAAAATAAAATAATATTAATATAATAAATTGTACTGATCGCTTTGAATCCAAGCTAGATCATGTTTTAAAAATACTAAATAATAATATGTTGTATACATTATGTAAGTTAATTCTGAGAAAATCCCACATAATTTTTGTCTAATCTGAATATAATAATAACAATAAATTGTGTTTAACAAATGGGTAAATAATTTTGAATCATTATATTATGATCTATATTACACCGGGGGGGTATTTATTGTGGATCAGTAAACCACGGACAGAAGTATCATCTCCACATTGGTAAGATTACTATTTAGAAGGTATATTTCACCAATATTATTTGAATACCCCTATTGATACACAGAGGTCAGTAAATACTCCTACGTAGGTATTGTTTCAGTAAAGCAATATTATGTTTTTTAAAAATCGTTTCAATATATTTTAGCTTTCAGCCATTTTGTGATATATTATAATATAAACTAGGCTGTATATTCGGAGCCATCATACGGTTTACGATCGCAAACTTAAATTAGATTTAAATAGTAATTTATATATCTACCACATACATCCTGTATATAAACGTTCTTTGTTTTTTTTCTTTACCTATTTCGAATTTAGTGAATATTTATATAACAATATTATTATTAAAATGTATACATGCGTCGTTACCTGTCGTAAAATCGTACAACCTGCCTTTTATTTTCGAGTGCCCATATGGTTTAAGGTGCATACTGTGTATACTATATATACCGTCCTACTTGTTGTACATAGTTTGTGGACGGATGGGAACTCAACGGACAGCTGTTTCCCAACGAACAAGATCATCCGAAACAGATGAACGATCGTTTCTTCGAGATGTGCGGAACAAAAAAACACAAACAGATATTGAAATCGTCACAGAACGCTGCTTTGATACAATACCGAGTTCCACGTAGAGGCAACGGATTCAGTTTTTATGTATCGTTCATCGACAACCCTACCCGTACGTATAATAATAATAATTTTAAATTTTATGTGGGCTGATTTTTTTCTTTATCGTATAACCTGGTGATTATACTGAAAATCGTGTAAGTATATTATAAAATATATCTGGTGGATTTTATTTATTATTTGCTTGCGAGGGTAAAATTAATAATTAAATTACGAAAAAACATAGATTGTAAAATGAATGTAGTGTATGGTTTTTTTTTTTTTAAACTTTAGTGCCCTTTTATAAGTAAAAACAGTTGGCTTGTGTAGGTGTAGTGTATGCAGGACGCGATAATGCCTGCACACGATCACAAAAATCACCCTTTTTAATAATTATATATTAAAGGTATTTAAAATTTGTGAAATTTTTAATTCAATTGTTTATGTGACATTTAATGAGCAATGACCGTTATCATAATTCAATAATAATAAACATCGTAAATTGATGATAAGACGAAATGATTTTGTTTTCATCTCGTGCAGAGAAATATACATTTTTAATCGCCTATAATAAAAGATAAATTATAATTATTATACCAACTTAATAAAATTCATCTGTAAGTAAAATACATCAAGTGTACGTACAAGCTATTATGTTAAATATTAATAAATTATACATTTTAATTAATAATATAAGTTTAAAATTTAAGTTAGTAAACTTCGCATTGCATACGCAATTATAAAACGATCTAGAGCAATAGAAAAATTATCACAAGTTATTATTTTAAATACAATATTATCTAAAATAAATTATGAAGTGATTTTAAAATTTACATAATATTATAATATTGTATATATTATACTTTATAGGCATTTTAATATTCAATATTGTACAGACTACATAGTATTTAATAATCATATCGTAACGTCATCGTCTTTTTTGTATAAATTAAAAAATATCCGTTAAAACCCTTATAATTCCCAATTGTAATAAATATTATTAAATACATTCGTTTATTTTTTCAATAAAATAATGAATACTTGATTGGCTCTGATTAAAAAAGTACCTTAATGTGAGTTATAACAAAATTACTAAATAAAACAATCTCACTGTAATTATAAAATCATATAAGTACTTTATAAGTTTATAGCATATTAAACATTTTCAATTTGATTATTTATTTATCAATAGAAATATAAAAAATAAAATGTGCTGTCACTAGTTACAAATTACAATACATAAATTCAATAAGTAAAAACCTAAAACAAATTATAAAGATAGTAATTTTTATATATTTTTTTTCAGAATAATTTTTGTTCGTCATGAATTCAAATGATGTAAAAATAATTTATTCCCAAAAAACGTAATACTTTTTGAGAAGACTGAATGAGTGTTTGATGATAAATTAACCATAACATATATGCACTATATATTATTATCCTAAAATTAAAAGTGTGTTTTGGTGACAACCAGAAACATATTTAGAGGGTAGAGGTAAGATGATCACTCCAAGCTGCATTTTTATAGGGGTGTCAGTTTTGTATATGCTTGAGCGTTTATAAATTTAAATATTAATATAGTACAATATATAATAATAATATTATTCATCCTTCAATATTATCTGATCTTATTTTCAATTATTCGAAAAATAGTTTTGATTCATTTCCATTACATTGGACTTATTCATTCACTTAAATTGAACTATTTCAACACGTCTTTATACAATTATGTATGAACTATATTCGATTTGTTTAATTGTTTTGTGCAGTTTATTATTAAAAGCTATGCCGTACCTATATATGTGTGGCTATGTTTTAAATTATTTTCTAAGTACCAACGCCTCGGGTCACAATATTATGTTACTTGGATTCGTAAGACCAGTGACTAAATAAACTCTCTATATACAATAGGTCTCTGACGATGTGCGCCATAATACAACAATTACTATAATATTATGATATACGATTTCAGCGACCCAGAAACACAACCCCGGCAATACGGTATATAAACCCCGTTTGTAGTTCAAACCGTTATCGTCCACAGCTAACTGTACACACGACATTATATATATATACATATATGCACACGTATATGTAACCCTTTCGAATTACCTAGTATATTGTGTGCATGTACGTATTACGGCGTTATCAAATTATATTCCATTTGTAAAATTTGGTTAAGCCCGCGCTTCCCGTCGAATTACGGTCGGCATAATAATTTAATGGCAAATACAAGGACGTGCGTCGTTTGCCCGCGATTACGATACGATTATAATTCTCACGCCAGCTGAATACGAATAAGTACAAGTATCGGTGCTTCTACTGCAGCAGTGTGGTCGGGATAACCGCAGTCGAATTTCTCAAAAATTATTGCTGTACGACACACGAGTAGGTGTTTTATTTTTTAATCGAACACACTGCAACGCGAGGTGGTCATCAAATAAATAAAATTAACATCGTCTACGGAAAATTAAAAATCCTATCGAGATAACTAAAAAAAAAAAAAACACTAAATTGCCCATCCACTGGAGTACAATTTTTGTTACGATATAAGTGACAAAACCATATAATATAAAATTATGTTGGAGTGACTGCAATTTGTGTTGATTTTTTTATTAAATCTACAATACGTATTCACAATTTATTTGGTTAGTAATATTACTTATATAATTTGTCTTATAAAATTGAATATTATTATAGAACTATCCCGTTTTCGATTATGAAATAATTATAGTAGTATGATATTGATGTTTTTTTGTTTTTATTGATCTAGAATATTACCTTCTGCTGCATAATAGACCACTGGCTGTGTACAATTGTTATTTTGCCTAGTTTTTTTATTTTTTGAATTATATTGTGTAGTTTGAATTTTATTTATAATAATAATAACAGTTTGAGATGTTTACTGGGTATTTTGCATTCTCCGAGCTCTTATCTGCAGGTTTTGCAAGTAGGTCGACCTTTCATGGACATCAGAAAACCGTGTGTTACTCTGCTGTGCCCAATTCTCAGTCTATTAAGTATTCTTTTTTCTTTTCTTTTTTATCCAGGGTTTTCCGATTGTGTATTGTGTTTTATTTTTCTCGATTTTGATGTATTTATGTGTGCATTAATTTATACGATTTATAATATTGTGTTTGAACTTTAAATACTTATTGTTATGCAACAAATGGTTTTAAAAGTAACCGTTTACATATAATACACAAATACAAGTACATATTTGTATTTAAAAACAAATAACCAAACTTGAATAATTATTCTATTTTTGATGAGTTTCACGAAGTAAAATCGAATACGCAAATAAGATTTTAACTTGACTACATAGGTATTACAAATTTTAGAAATTCAAATAAAAATTATTTTATTATTTAATCCTTAATTATTTTTTAAATTAATTTTCAGAATGGTTCGGTACATTTCTGTATAAGACTCGAAATATTTTACCAAATGCGTGTCTGTATAAGTAAAACTTAAAAACTTATGTCCCAATAAATAAATTTGCATTATCGATTATACGTATACGTACGTTATAATAATATAGTATGCCTTGGTGAACAATTATTCGTCCAAGCGAGTATTTATATTATTATACCTACCTACTGTATAAATTAGCCTAGTGAGAGTATTTCTCGCCTGATATTTTATTATATTAAAAGAACAATATGATGGTACTTACTACCTGTATCTATAGATTATTTACGTATCTGAGAGGCATTCAAATAAATGTGTTTTGATTCTCCAATAGTCAATTGGTATAATAGGTTCAAAAACCGTATTCCCGTGTAAAATAAACGTATTCTCTACAATCTACATATTATGTACAGTGTCTTGCAATATGTATAATGAAATCGTATTATTTTGTTTAATAATATATTATAATACCTAATATCTTGATATGTAATACCGAAGAAACATAAACAGTACATAAATATTAACTAACGAACGAGTGAACGTCTTAAATTAATAATATTATCAGTCAACAAAGAAAAACCAAGTAATTAAAATACTATAATTTCGTTTACTACCTACCTAAATAAGTAAATATAACTAATATGAAGTTATTAAATGAATGATGAAAATTAAAGCAGATAATCAGTCGACTGAAAAACGTAATATTGGATTTATTTAAAAATAGATTAAAAATGACGCGAATGATGTGATTGATTAAAACTCAAATAAAATAAAAATAAAAGAATCACATCATTTTAAATAATTTTTCTTCTTCGAATCACCAAACATATTTCAACTTACCTACTCAGCTATAAAACATTTCTTGAAATCTCATAAAAAAAATATGAAATGCAAGTTCTAAAATTAATCCGTTTCCTGGTTAATAGTTAAATTGTCAACAATTCATGTTATATTTGAATAATGACTACGCGTAGAATAATATTCTGTGGTATTAATATTTGAACAGTGTTCTTGGAAATCGCACTCAGGTAAAACGCGTCAGTTTGAAATTTAAAATTAATTATTTTCTTGCTTCGACATCCAGCTATGCCGAGAATAGTGCTCGAATGAAGTGTGAACTTCTCGATTATTATTATTTTCTTCATGGTAAACATGGTGATCTCTGGAGGAACTATGCTCTAAAACGGGCAAAGATAATACAAACTCGACTTATGTTGTGTACACGTATTTATGGATATGTATACTATACGTGTGTTATAATAATACATATAGTATAGTTATCAAAAGCATTCGTGGTTTTTGGATAAGACGTGTCGCGATGGATCAACTAAGTTTGGTGTTTGAAAAAGGATTTCTACGTCCTCGGTGAAAACTAATACAATTTCCTGTTTCGTCTTAGTCAATTATAGAAGACTTTGTGAAGTCGATTGCAAAAAAAAAAAAAAAAACAAAAAATAAAATAAAAAAAATACTGAACTCCCCCTACCTATTCAACAACAATCGATCACGTCAACTCACAAACACACTCGAGCACTCTTTTATATACAGACTTTAGTCCGTTTAAACAAATAAATAAATATATTAGGTGTTAATGTGGGAAATGTGCAGTAGAATATAACTGTAATCTTGTTAATTAATCGACCTTTTCGGTTACCTAATGTGTTTGTACAAGCACGTAACAAAATTTTATTAAATTACAAATTGTATTAATTACAATAAATTCAATTTTATTTATAACTAATTACATTACGTTGCACGTGTCTAGTAGTAACACGTTAAAATAACGGTCTTGCCAATATTGGCACAATCAATGCACGTTATAGTGGTCGGTTTTATAATCAGGTTTCTTTTAACGGCACTGCATGCGGTTTAAAGTTTAAATTGTTTCCAAAATGACTTTCTTAAATTAATTAATATTTAAATTTGGTGAGTACGAGAATGCCCTGTTAAAATTATTGTACTTGCAGGGTTGACATAATAATATGCGACGCCATTATACAATAAACAATATAATAGTATAAATTATTATCGTAAAGAGTTACGACGTGACGTAGAAAGCATAATAATTTATATGAATACCAAATCGCTCAATTTCGAGTTTAATTGTCTTTGACACGCTAAAAACAAGCAATGACTTAGAATTTAGAAACCTTAGAAGTTTACACGTTCTATACGAACATTGGCTAGCGTTTCATTAAAATTCAATACTGCGGTTTTGCATACGACCAAAACGATTATTACTATTACAACTGCGGTTATTTCGGTGTTTCTTCGTTATAGCTTGCAACATACTGTTGGCCGACATCGCTGAAGTGTACACGCTGAGGAATTACGGAAAACCGGTGAATTGCAGTCTGACGATGTTGTACCCGGCTCAGGTGAAAATCTTGGCTTTGGGCGTCGGTCTTGGACACGAACAGAAGAGGACGTTAACGGAACGCGAGACCGGCACGATTCATAAAGTATATAATATATATATATGTACATATAATTATAATGTAATCCTCGTCATGTCAAATTATAATATATGACTCGACGTCCGTACGAGTGTACTGTTATAACTTCTAGACGTTTTTAGTGCACGAGGGGACAAACTCGTCAGCGATATAAACGCGTATATAATAATATTATACACAATAGTAATATAATATAATTATAATAACGTTCCATGTAATAATTATAGTATAATAACGCGTATTACTGTGAATCGTGATGATATTAAAATTAACAGTGTGACACACGAGGGCTGCCGGATTTCGTTCAAGTCGGTGGTGGAGACGGTTTGGCCCAGTTGTCTATGGTCGATTCGATTTGCGGCACGAACTCGGAACCGGGTTAGTAACAAATTTACTATCATTATACATATTTAATATTATTAAATATATTATTTTACCGTGCAACTAAAGAACAGTTAGCACTGGAATCGATTATAGGTATACTATCATCGTGTACGGCGAGAAAAAACAAAACGTCCGCATATTATATTGCAGCCTCGTAGGTGGTAGTTGTCAACTGAACCACGCCTATGATAATATTTAATCGATAGCGGAATCGTTGGAGCATTTAAAGTCATAATTCCAAAAGTGGGGGTGCAAGGTCTCGATAAAAAAAAACTAATGCGTACTATAGACGCAGATAAACTGAATATTTTATAGTGAAAAATTCCCAGCGAGTCCAGTGGCGGATCCAGGGCTTAATTTTGGGGAGGGCATGGAGGCTGCAAAAGTACAAAAAGTACATTTGCTACAAAATTGGCTGTAAAACAAAGGGAAACTATGGTGATTGGGAGGGGGGGTGCAAGTTCCCCCTCGCCCATCCCCCTGGATCCACCACTGAGCGAGCCTTCAAAACCTTAATGAATTAACGAAAAAACTACATGTTACTGAACGGGCGGAGAGGAAAGGACGTATCGTACAACGATTTCGTGAGCTACGCGTACGCGTACCGAAATTGCCTATCCGAGGAGCCGTGTCAGAAATTTACGATTCATATGACAATTTTGTATTATTATTATTTAATAACGCGAGTATTGTTTATCACTTATTTTTTTCCACAGAAAACGCCGTGGAGACGATTATGTGTGGCGTGACCACTGTGAGACTTGTATCGAGTGGACAATTTCACAACGCCGTCACAGTGGCCATGACAACACCCGACGTCGAAGCTACGCCGTCATTAGTGTGCGAGCCGTAGGAGCAGACGTGTAACAAATTAAAAAATAAACAAATTAACTCAGAAATCCCTCAACTCCGATAAATTACATAATATTATTATTGTAACGATCGATTATTTGTTTTCGCCTTTATCATGTCTTCAATGTCCGATAGGAAATATTATGATACCCGCATAATATAGGTAATAATTTATTAGAGTTCAAAATTCGAAAATTATATAAATCATTTTTTTTCTTTGTTCGTTTTGTATATTCGTACCTAATATATACATATACACATACAATATTTACATCAATTTATATATATATACATACAGCGGCGTGGTACTAAATATCTGATATCTACTCCTGTATATTTACGTCTCCCAATCTTTTATCACCTAGTCTAAATAGTGCGTATTATGTACGGCCATATATTGGCCTACCGTCACGACCGAACACCTTTATTTTAGGTGCCATCCAAATTCGTATTCTTTTTTGCCACGCCACTGCTGAAAACATACTTACAGAAACCGATAATAATAAATTGTAATGCTGTACTCACTCGAATATAAGCTCTTGATAATAGTTAATAATTATTGATTGATTGTTGATAGCAAAATATAAGTTTAATAATTTCATATTATGTATAATACAATATTATGTAATATTATTATTGATATCGACGTATTCATGTTTGCTGTGTACTTAAAATAAATATATCGTAATATATGTACACAATGATGCGGGAACCGAGAATTATGTATGTAATCACTAATCATATTATATACAGTTATCTATTTTAGAATAGTCAAACTGCACTCACTACCCAGACAAAAATGTTCAAATTGCACTAGAGTTCAGAAAATAGTTATATTTGAATTGTACTTGACTCGATCATCCTATAATAGAGTATAGAACATAATATACATATTAATTTTAGTAAACAGTTCAAGTGTGTCGATCGATGGCACGAAATAAACGTAAAATGTGTGTGAGAGAGAAAGAGCTCAATATTCTGGATGTTTTAAAACACATCTTATTTTTATATTATAATTTAGCATTTCTGAAAAACACTCATTCATTGCATTAGATTGTAACTTTAAGTGTTTAATTCAATAAAAATAATAACTTTTACATATTATAAACAGAAATTATTCTTTCATCGACTGATCATTAGTAAATATAAGTTTTATATTATAATGATTATAACGAGTGTGATTTTAACATAACCTTTTTGAACCCGAGTGCAATTTGAACGTTACCTTTTTTTTTTTTAGAACCCGGGTGAATTCGCCTATTACGTTTAACTGTCACGAGTGCAATTTGAAATTATCCGCATCGAGCTGAACAGTTTTAAAAATATCCCTTATCTTTATACTTCAGAATTTGTTTATAAAAATAACGACCGAGTCTAGTACATGCCATAAATGATTTTTAACAATAATAAATCTCTTCGTCCTATTCGATTGTTTTTTTTCAGTGTTATACGTTATTATTCTAACAAGAGGCATTTTTTTATTCTTTCAATTAAAATTTTTTTTAGACGTTAATTTAGTCCAGTACTTACAAACCTCAAACATTCAAAATAGGGAAAGTAGGTAATCTCTTTGCTGTACAGTAGGTATCGACTATACATCGTTATTGAGTGTCACTGTAATGCGCGTGTTTCAATTTTAATTATTCAATAGGTAATACATCATTGAATACGAAAAACCATTCTGAGTGAAGATGGTCTTTCAGAATATATTACTAAGTATATTTCAATTTATATATTTCAGGTATTTATATTGCTATGATAGCAACATAAGTCATAACCAACATAATCTTTAGTAAGACGTAAATTTATTGTAACCGGAAACATTATATTAAAATATTAATTAGTATTTCCTTAGTATGTATTATTTATATCAGCAGTTCCCAAACAGGACACAACGAGCACTTTCCATAGGCTCATAAGAAAATAATTCATAACTTATTGAACTAATTTTTTGATTTTTAAGATTTTTCGTTCATTTCAAATTGAATTTTATACAAATGCGAGTCGCCAAGTCACGATGTTTGGCTTACACCACAACCGTCTTAAAATGCAGAACCCTGACATCTGACTCCAGTTTTCAATAATATAAGCCGACAATACCAAACTTTAGCAGCCATTTACATCTCTTTAGCTATAATATTGTTATAATATTCATGTCAAAAATAATTTTTCTCTTATAAAATATATTAATTTTAGGTTGGCTGCGTATAAATAAAATGCTTATATATTGTAATATCAATATAAAATTGATTATCAATGAGAATAATAATTAGTGTTTACTTGACATTTATGTTTCTCATGGTAATCACAGCAGGGTATTCCGTGGCTGAATTTGGTTCAAAAAGGGGAACTCTGGAAAAATAAAAGTTTGGGAACCACTGGTCTCAATCATATAATAGTATTGATATTATTTTTTTAGTCCATACCAACCTACCGTGAGTGGTGTAAGTAAGTTAGTGGTATAAATAGGCAGTATAAAACAATTAATATAAATAATGTATTGAAAATTGCATTGCTCACTTATATAAAATAAAATAATATAAGTAAATGTTTCAAATTCCCATGAATACTATATTTTGGAAACACAAAAAAATAACTAAAATCAATATTCTTAGTTTTAATATCTAATTTTGTCCAAATTTGAACTTAAAATATCTATAAAAAAATATTGTGTTGATTTTTTGGTTCCAGTATGAACTGCTTATGAGGAAACTTGTATTAAAGTGTAAAGCCTTAGCTTTAAAAATTGAACATTTTATGCATTTTTAACTACAAAATAATTTCCTAATTTCCGTGATTACGAATTATTTCAACATTTAAACTTCAAGTTCTTACAAAAATAATCGTTACTTAAATAATTAAACTATTCAAATCATTCATAACATTTTTTATGAATTTATGATAACTTACTATTGAAAAATACTTTATGTCTCGAATATTTTATACCAAGTCCAACTAATTTTTATAAATATGTGAAATCAACTAGATTAATGGACCTTTGACACAGACTTCACAAAATATGTTAAATACAACGATAGCTCTTTTATATACTTACTCTTCTGTATTTTGTGGTTTGTCCATGATTATTCGAGTAGTAAATGGCAGTAAGTACAAACAACATTATCTATGGGTAATTTTAATGTTCCTCAGAAATAGTCCCAAATTACCTTTTTAATAATATATCACATCAAGAAATCTATTTTACCAAATATTTACGATTTTTAGTTTACGAGTTACATCATAGAAAGATAATATACATTATTTAAATACATTCACTAGGAATACATAAATCAAAAAAAATTATTTATTCATTTGTTTTAACATTTTACCAAATTTTACATTTTTCTGACGGATTCATGGGAGACCCGATTGGACATCGAAAAGCTTTGGCAAATTCGTTAGAATTCGACAAGGTTCCTAATACTCGAATTTTACCCGGGCTATGGACGTCGGTCAATAAATCATTTAATAATGCCTGTTCAGTTGTCGATTCACACCATATCTATAAATGTTTAATTCAATTTTAAACTAGGCAATTAAAAGGCATTTATATATTAAACTTATGGATGCGGAATCGCATACAAGTTTTTAAGCCAACACAATTGATACCATTCTCAAATGTAACATCGTCAGGTATATCTTGTTTAAAATATGTTAGTTTTTTATCTCTCAGAAGCTCTAATGAGAACCAACAATTATGTTTAAGTTACGTTAGCCTAAAATCATATATTTAGTGGAGGTATTCCGTATCCATATGTTTAATATTGATGGTGAAGGATGACATCTTACACTAGCGAATCCTACGAAAAACAATTGTTCGGGTGACAGATCCTCTAATCCAGGTAGCCGGTTTTCTGCTCCATGCGTCGATACGTATTTTTGGTATGCCATATAAGCATGACTTAAACCACCTATATCTGCTATGTTTTCATTTTGAGTCATTTGGCCGTTTATCTAAAAAAAAAAAAAACGATATTTGTCATACAATTTTAGTTTATAGTTAGATATTATGTATAATTGTTTTTTTGAGAAGTGGGGGCTTTTAGATTTTTAAATAACCAAAAAAACTGTGAATATCTGAAAGAGTGTGAAGAGTTGAAATTGTCGAGACTAATTGTTTACAAATTAAGGTCAATATTACTTTCATTTTTCATTTATATGGACATATAGGAGAGGAGAAAAGAATCATATTTATTACAATTATTAGGGTTCAACCTTCAATAAATTCATAAGCCCGTTGCATTTTTATTAGGTAATATAAAAAAAAAAAACAAAAAGGTCCCATAATATAGAATGTAATAATATAATACACTGCTTAAATATGCACTATAGTCTATAGTCTATAGTAATAATTATTTGTTTGAAGTCAAGTTGGAAATAATATCACTCTGTACCTTAACTTGATTTCCCTGGACAGTCAAACTATAATTATTATACTGTTGTACGAAACATTCAGCTTTTATCGAAAACGTCTCCATTGTTTCTTGAGTCCACCATTGTCGTCTATTACCATGTTTGTCATACATTCTACCTATTTGGAGAAATACGAAACTCAATTTTCTTGTGAATTAATTTACACTATAAAATATATTATACAAACCGGAATCGTCAAATGCATGCATTATTTCGTGTCCTACGACTAAGCCCACCATTCCATAATTTAAAGCTCTAAAATATTGAAAACAAAATGTTTATAATCACGTATGAATGAGCCGGCGGCGTATCACATTTATGGGTAAAAGTTATATAATATGTACTCACTGAATTCGACCCTTGTGATAAAATGGAAGTTGTAACATTCCGGCCGGCAAAACTGTGAACGAAGCGAGCTTATTAAATATTTAAATAATTAGTAATTATTTCAAAAGATATATTGCCTACACAATAGTGTAATATAATCCGCCACCGTCGTAAAAGACAACAAGTTAAAATAGATGATAACCACGAGTCGTAAAATAAAAAAATGGGTTTCTTCTCGCCTTCTAAAATCTCAAAATCTCATATAATTTTAACGGACAACAACATTTTATTGTGGACACATAATGCCATTCGGTTAATTTGAATGTTACCTACATATTAATTTGTCTAAGAAAACATACACTGCACCTATCACAAAGTGATATTTCTGTACCGATTTAAATAAAATATGACGTATAATAAATAGGCATTCTATAAAATATACACGATGAGGATTACATTTTTAAATTTAAATTGAACACTAATAATTCACTATCATGCAGATTGTTATCCTCTTACAGCAAGACGTTCGATCGGATTACATGCGTGTGATGTGTGCTCATAAATACAATTTAAAAATTACCTATACAACTTCAAGGAATATTTTTATAGTTTCTACTCTAAAACGCATTTAAACTATATGAGGATTTATTCAGCTTACAGTATAATATTATATGTTATGAACGCGCATATGAGTAAGACATTTATTTAACATGATTTCTAAATCAACCTGGTCTCATTAAAAAAAAATAATACTTAAATTATTGTTTTACCTATTGCGTTCGAGTAGATATCGTTGTATCCGTTTACACTAACTATATCCGTCGTCCATCTGTAAAACAAACATAGGTATAATTTATAACGACGTTCAGTAGTTATTATAAAATGTAAATTAAAGTATTAATAGACATTTATCGACTTCAATAAAATTACTCATCGCAGCAACTGAACAAGTATTATGTATTCTATACACTCAATTATTATTGACTTATACGTCGGTAAGTCAACATTTCGACGAGCGCTGAATAAATATATTATATCTCATTTATTATTATCATTTGAATAATATTGTACAGAAAATTCAAAACCAAAAAAATACCAAGTTATTCTAAACGTAATAATCCTTACTCTGTATGATTGTGAATACTGTTTAATTTTGAAAGCTTTTTTAAGTTTGATTCAATTTGTAGGATCTCCAAGTTCATTAAATAACTGTCCGTCATATTTACCTACGACAATAATAGTATTCATTAAATATAACAATATTATTACAAGTTCATAAACAGCAACAGATTTGTTGTAATCTTTCGATCTTAATAATAATAATAATAATAATAATAATAATAATAAATCGTACATAGTATGAAAGTTTGTGACATCTATAATTCACTATAGTAGTTTCAGCTATATGCCTATGTAAAATATAATATTATAAGACAAAAATCTTATTCGTTCTATTCATTTTATACGAACGATATAACATAATATTATTGTCGTTACGCAAATTACACCAGTATGTGTTGCCTTCGTCTTACACTTGTATGACATAGACAAAACGCATTTACGTAGTCTGAGTATAACTCGCTCAATTTTGATTTTAAAGAAAAAATATCTATTTTAAAATTAAAAGATGACAATATTTTGAAGGTAAAGATGTTGCAGTTTTTTCATTATTCCTAATATGAAACTCGATATATTGTTTAGAAATAACGACCATTTCAACATTTTTTAACGACCTGTAACTTAACGGAGACAATACACGCTGCTTCCTCTTATACAGGTAAGTACTCGTTTAATTTACACTTACAATTTTTAGTTTACTGTGTGAATACGAAGTGTCTTCGAACCAATCAGGGTATGCGATAAACTTGTGCATCGATTGTAATTTATCGATAGCGGATTGACGAGTAATCGAATCCATCCATACTATGTTCTCTAATCGTTCCATGTAAGCCTCTTGAATGTTATTAACCATTTCTGTAGCCTGTGAATTTCAATTGAAACGTGAAATTTAGACTCCGACCAACGGTATAATCATATAGTTAAACTTTTGATTCTACAATGTGATAAACTCAAGAAGATTTAAAATGTATTTTAAGTTATGATGTCTCACCATGTCTTTCGTAGACTTGTCGAAGTACTTGGTGACGTACTTATATCCAACATTAAACGCAAAATATGAACTGGTAATTGATACGCAATCCAACCACCTACAGAACGTTGGTTAGTACAAATTAACGAATAACGAAGTAAGAAGAGTTTATTATTAAGTCCCTAATAATAAAAGCATTCCTGAACTTAATTTTAAATTTTAATATACTTAACCTATTTACTTGACAGAAGAAAAATGATATTAGACGCTAAAAGATTAAGATTCGTAGTGAATTTTTTATGTATTATTTCTAACTAATGCGTACATTTATGATGGTAAATAATTGTTTATGCACGTGATATATTATTCTGTACAGGCTGTATGCCAATAATGAATGAATTATTATAATGAAAAAAATAATTATGCAATAATTATTTCAAGATAGTTAGGTGATTAAACATCTTTACTAGGTTACCTACCTAGAAACTTCTTTAACGTCTCCGGTGAACACCACATTAAAGTCTTGAATGAGATTTTTCAAATCTTCTTTGATATCGGATAATCTGGATCTTAAAAAGCACCACGACATATAATTGACTGCAATAACACAAAACTTAAATATTAATACTTAACGTGAAATTCTACAGTACATTTGTGACTGTGCTATGTATGTACAACGTACTTAAAATTCTTTTTGGGGTTTTTTCTAATAACCGTACCAGGTCTTTTAGATAGTGCTCTTCTTTTACAAATATCTTTTCTGTCTTTTTGAGAAATACATCAGTGCCTTTAAACAGTAGCCGAAACATTTTTAACCAATCAACCTGTTAAAAGTATTATATACAACGAATACGTAAGACCTTTAAGCACATAAACACGTGTATACGAATAGCAGACCAAAGGGTGCGGCGTTATTATTTAATTGGCTGGACCCGTTTCACCCAAAAATGACTTGTTTAGCTCAGATAACCGTTTCACCTAAATGTTGGTATTCTATTATGATTCCCAGAATAGTCTAGATAAATTTAAAATTAACTTGACAGTGATTGTTTTATACCTAAAATTTTTCATTTTCACGTTTTTGGAACAGTCAATATTTATATAGTACGTAAATTATAAATAAATTGTTTAATATTGTAATATTAATTGCATCTTTTGATGTCCTTGGATTCAACTCTAATGATTTTTATATAATTATCAGTTTGGACGTAAATCTGCACACAATTTAACCAACTTTATACAGACGGGGAATAAGAATAAAAATTGTCATTGAGAACAAATTAAGGGGCTTGCACGCATTTGTCATAAGCCCATAGAGTAGGAGTAAATTAACTATCCTCGGAATTGTATTTGTTTATTAAAAATAACAATATTTTATCACTTTGTCATCAGTTGGGCATTTCGGCATCAAATCGTCAACAAAACCACTCGACACTTCCTGGGGACGTTGGGTTTTAAATATTATAAACCCAAAGTGCACTTAATCCATTTGCAGTTGTCTGATTTGATTTAATATGCTGTTTATAGCTATGCCATACTTCTGAGGGTTTCAAATCTACGCTTGTGTTAAATAAAAATTATATCCACCCCTCTTTGATAAGCTGAATTTAATTTGGCTTTGATAAATTCGTAGGTACCAATCATTTTTTCTTGGAGTTCGCTAAATTATATTTGACTTAATTATCATTTCCAACTTAATTTTACATTTATCTAAACTAGTCTGTGGTCGAATCGGGAATCATGTAATAACAAAAAATCGGGCGAAATGGGAAATGTAATTTTTGGACGAGATGGGCCAATTTAATTAATATCCTACTATAGCTGGTATACCTACCTGAAACGTCTCCGATAAGTTGCTTATGTCTTTTTGAAGTTCTTCTATTGTCATTAAGCGATTCTTTAATGCCTTTTCGCTTTTTTTCATTTCTCCAGTGCTTTGTATCTATTAGTATAATAGAAGACATAATAATATCATACAATTTATTTTAAGCTAAAATGTTTTTTTTAAAACCTACTCTGGCCAGTTGTGTTTCGAATTTAATTATTTCGCCGGCGATTTCGTCTCCGAAATGTCTGCTTCGAGTCAATTTAGAACCAAATTCTTCGTGCAACAAAAATACCGTGCCGGCAATAAGTTTCGAATAAGCGTTAATTTGAGTCTTATAACGATCTGGATGCATGAACATCGATCTCGGTAGCATTAAATCTGGCTGACCTATCTATACATCACAGTACTATAAATTGGTACATATACCTATAAAAGTTATTGCAAACATGCCACGCCCATTTACCATTAAAATGTATTGGCTGGTATTCAAATAATTAATAGATATACCAATATCTAAAATCGTTGACACTTTCCAGTTTTTTTCCATGTAAATATACATTTTCATCCAATCCAATGATTGTAATTTGTCGCTGTAGTCATTTTGTCCTATCGGCCATCCACCAAATAATGAGATAATCGATTTTAAGTATTCAAAATTCATTCCATTACTCACTATGGACATTATTAAAATGTAATTTTAAAGACAAATATCTTACGTTAGTTAACAATTTTGAAATTTACCAGAGTTTAAACAACTTTTGTAGAACTTTTGAGCTGGATCTAAAATTATATCAGGATTTTCTTCTTCCAAAATTTCTAAAATATATGGTTGTATAATTTATAACTACTATATATATTATTCACCCTTTGCTGTTCAAACTACATGTTGTGTTTTAATCTAAATATGTATGTCATAAACGAAGTATACATAGATACACGTTTGCTTGTCGAGCCATATTAGAAATAATTTACTTATAATTTGAGAACGTGTTTTATAATATTTTCACATACCTTTCAAATTATTTGTTATACTTTTTTCTGCCTCTTTGTACTGATACCAAGATACTTTAGTGGCTTCAACTTGATGATCTTTTACCCACAAACCACAAGTAAACTCGTAAAAATCCTCACACGGATCTACGGATCTATTCATGCTCTTCAACAGATATTCTATAAAAATAATGAATCATAATTCATAATAAAACTTTGTAATATTATTTTGTTTATTAATTGGATTTTGGATTTTTTTTTTTATTGTTACATAATGTAGCTCATCACAATTTCCTCAGGGCCTAATAAATAAATATCGATAATACATTTTCGAAGGAAAGTCTACATAAACAATAACAATATGTATTCTAATGACGTAGATGATGACCTAGCTTTTATAGGTACTCAATACAAGCTCGCAATAAAAATATCATATTATGTATTCAATATTAATACCGGTTCAATTAATTTACCTGCCGTTTTACATTGCATCGTTGAGCATTTGTCCTCTTTTGGATCATCTTCGATTGAAAATACGTCTTTTAAAAAATCATTTGCAGACCGGCATTGTAACCTCTCAACGATCAAAACAATTAAAAAAACTATTAACTTCATTTTATTTGTTATTTCAGAATACCTATATATAATTGTTTTAGAAGCTCTACATGTTAAATTGTATTAACTACTGTAGATTTGTGTTTTATTTCCGACGAAACAAGTGGGTGTCTCTGACAGGAAATTGATTTTGATATAGCTTAGTAGGGCAATGTCCAGTGCAGTATACAAATACATTGATAACGAATATTATTGTTAGAGCAATGCTCTTTTATATAACCACTTGTTTCTACACATCAAGTGAATTTTACAGTTATTTGTCAAAATCGAATTAAAAACAAAATATGTTTTAATTTTGTGAAAATACATTTTCCAATTTTATTGCATTATATCTGGCAACCAATTAATCCTTATTAGTAATTACTAATATTAAAGTGGTATGACGATGATTATTCACCGACAGAGTATGTAATAATTCCGGGAATTTACCTGCATTAATTTGTTTGTTCATCAAAGTTTGGACGAATATACGTAGTAATATACTAGCTTAAACTATACTAAGTTAAACCTTCAAAATTAGATGAAGTTATAATTTCCAATTGGCTATTAGATTAAGCGTAACATCAAAGTAATTATTATACCGTAAAATTACATGGTCATCGATCAATGATATTTTTTAATTGATATAATATTAGTGTTTGTTTTCAATCGTAAGATCTTGAATCATCCTTTCATTATAAATTCTATTGAATCCTGACATAATTGGTGGTTACAAGAAATTGAACTTCACATCGGCCGGCGTCACGGCCGTATTTACACTTTTTGCGCCCTGGGTCAACAATAATTAAACCAAAAAAAAATCACTTTTAGATTCTGAGTGGAACGATGAATGTATTGATTTTACAATGATGTGTGTTTTTATTTTTTTTATTTTTTTATTTTTGTGTCTGTGTACACGATAAGTAGTGTAAATAATGCTTCGATTTTAAACTTCAGTATATTGTTCGACGGGAAAGTGAAATTTGTTGGTGCATTTTGGAGGTCAAAATTCCTTATAGTTTTCAATTTTTAAAATATTTTGATTTGTTTTGAACTGTCTAGGAACATTTTCTGTTTCCAATTTTATAAGTCTTTTTTTCCGTGAATGTCAATAAAACTTTATTTGTTGGGTAAAAAAACTTGAAAATTTAATAGAAGGCTCCTAGTATATTGTTTCAAAGGCATATGAAAAATATTAAAAATCCTTGTCACAATTTTTTTTTATAAGCATTTAAAGTTCAAAAATTGACAAAATATGGAAAAATCACGAAAATTATCAAATTATTTTGAGTTAAGAATTCGTAAAAATTTTTCTCTTTAAATCTAAGATTTGAAATGTAATACAAGATTACTCATAAGTTTGTCTACCTTTATCAAAAAAAAATGTCTATAAGAAAGTCAAATAAAATTTTTATGAGCTTTTGAATTTCATATTTTTACAATATTGGATATTCACTCGATTTCTCATGTAGTGGTTTTGTTATTTTATTCTTACTCAAAAACGAATAACGAATAGATACATGAAAATTTTGAGCTGTTTATACGGACATTGTCAGTTTTCAATTTTTATAGTTTTTCTTTTCTATATATTCAATACAATTGTTACTGCTGGGTAAAAAAGCTTGAAAATTTAATGCAAGGCTCCCGATATATTGTTATAAAGTTGAAGTAGAAGGCATTAAGTATTTACTAATATCATAGGCTAACTGACAGTTTTCGGTCAGAATCGTTTTTCTTATACAATAATATTATATCATTGAATTCAAATTGAACACCATCCATTACCAGTGACCCACTTGTAACTTACTATACAGCAGAGCGACATCCACAACCCATTTTTTTAATTGTTTAGTTGTAGTTCTTTATTTATGAAAATTTTGTTAAGAACTCAGATCATGATGATACATTATTTTAATTATTGTCAAAATGTAAGACAACATACAAAATGTTATCTATAAAAAAATTACAAAAATTAATAGTTATCATTGATTGACAAAATGAGTAAATGACGCCAAATGGTCGATTCCATAGTCATGCAATGCAAAAAGTCTAAGTATAGGTACTCAAACAAATTCTTCCCCCCCAAAAAAAATGTTATTTATATAATATACACTGGCCGACCCCCTAAATGTGTCAAAAATTGGCCACACGAGGCAAATGTCCCCGTTGCCCCCTCCCCTTAAATAAGGCCCTGGCCGGCGTAGAAGTAGGATGAAAATGTAATTTCATAAAAAAAAACACAAAGGGCGTATATGACAGTGCCATCTACTGATCTACTGACGGAAATCCGGATGTATCTCTAGATTATATACTACAATCATTGATTAAGTATATAAATCAATGCTACAATAGTTTTATACCGTTGATTTTATAATAATCTACATTATAAAATGTTACAAACGTTTTAGTTGTGTATAACATTGAGTAAATTTTTTTTTTAATCCTATCGCCGCTTAAAATATATATAATAAAAAAAAACAACAAATTTTGGTTTTCATATATTTATTTAATAAACATTAAATATGCTATTTTTCCCCCAAACATTGGAAAGTAAAATATAGTTAGCATGCATATATCAACCAGTACACAATCATAAATTAACAATCCTCAATGTCTTATGTACGAGACAAAGTGACGCGATGTTGATGAACGAAAACAAAACAAATTCCGTTTCGAATAATTTCGCTTATAAAGGAATGACCTAAGGCACTTAATTATCAAAAGCCTAAACTTGTAGTATGTTGCATAACAAAATAGTAATACAATATATTGTAATTATAAATAAATATATATACACACAAACCATATATATACTTATTTATTTATATATAAACAGACATAATATTATATTCTTGCACAAATTAAGCCAAACCAGACCGGGGAATGGGGGTGATGATATTATTATTGTTACACTATAGATATTTTATATAGGTATTATCTATATAATAAGTATGTAAAAAAAAATGTATATAATAGTAAACGTTAACATATTATTATCCTTGGCTTAATACTGATTTTTTATGTGTTGATATAATTTAGTTGGTGCATTAATAGTATTACAATATAGTAGGTAGGTAGGTATATGTGGGTATAATATAATTTCAAATCGGTTATTAGCGGACCATATTACAACGATTACATTTGGAAATTACATGTATACATACACACATTTGTTGTCATACAATATTGCCGACTGCTTTATGTATGTGTAAGTAAACTGCTAGACACATATTATTGTTATTTTACTTCAAATTAAAATAATAATTCAGCATAACATATTATTACGTCTAATTAATTTTTTTAATAACTACGTCATCTTCGGTAAGAAGAAAATATCGTTGTCAAATAACAATGATAATAGGCTACTTAAAAAAAATAATAACATATTTGTCTATATTTTCTAAATATTTAACAGAAAAAAATGGCTGTACATTTAATTTTTATTGTTAATATTATTCTGGCTTACATCAATTAGTTATGCCTGGAAGTTTTGCTTATAGATGCATAAAGTACAACCAATTTTATTTTGAAACAACTTTTGTAACAACTGTGAACTAAAATCTTAATCATTAACATTATTTTTAAGGTGGGGTTTAGTTTGAAAAATCTGAAAGAGTATGTGTATATAACATCAATACATTGCCATTTTTTAAAATTTAATTAAAATTTTAAAGTACCTAGGTATAAATTATACCCGTTTATTTAAGAACAAAGTTATGGATATTATGGGGACATTATATTATTAATATTTACCTTTTAAAAATTAAACATTTGCATATCATAAAAATAACAATGATAATATTGTTTTTGAAAAAATAATGTTTTATAAAACACTATACATTATGTGGAACACCCTAAACCAATTATCAAATATTTCATAACAAATTAAATTTCTATATAATAACACAACAGTAATATCCAGGCAGCCTCATACTATGCACATTTAAATATCACCCAAACAATTTAAACTAATAATGTATTGTTTTAATTTTAATCAACTTTTACATATTAGCTACATATTATTAAAGTTAAACTAAAATTGTAGTATCATTTTTTTTAAGTATAAGCACCAAATTCAGACAATACCGTTGTTATCGGCAACTATAATTACTATTTGTTATCTTACGTACTACTTACGATACATTACACACTAAGTATTCTAAATTATAGTACCTATTAGATATATCTAAATTTTACATTTAATCTGACCATTTCGGAATCTAAATAAAATAATTAACAAGTTATTTCGTGTATATATTTATGAAGTTTTGAAATAAAGTAAATAGTAGTTGAGCGTTACTGAGATTGCTAATATCTAGTAAATCCCAATACAATTAAGTAATTTTTTTCTTATAATACATATTTATGACTTTTAATGGGACCATACAACCTCGTCCTCTTGAATATTTATATATATATTTTCAAATAACGGATAATGGTTTGTGTAGCAAATCCAATATTAAAATCGAACAGCCAATTCGAAAAACTGAGATTGTAATACTTAAGCAGGGAGTAATAGAAAAACCAAATTTATTTTATTTTAAATACAATTTGTTTGATCTTTGCAATAGACAGGTAGGTAATATAATATTATAGTCTATAGGTATTAAACATTACAAAAATAACAGTGTTATGGGTATTATAATAATGTTGACTGTCAGTGTTAAACATTTCATTACTTTATATTAAGATCAGAGATACCAAACCCATTCATATCCATTTAAACATGCAAATCAAAGATAACAATATTTCTTTTATGACTACTATATATATTTAATTTTTATGCCATTTTTAAACTTGATTGTTAACGACAAAAATATTTTATATTAATGATAACGATTAACAAATTGTATAATGAACTTATTAACAAATTACTCCTGAAGAGGAGATCCAAAAAGCAGTCTCATAATTACACCAAATTTCCATGGTTTATAAAAATGAAAGAAAAATTTGCATTATATGAATAATGAAACGACCTAAAAATAATCATTTAAAATGAATTTAAATGCAAATTTTTCTTTTCTTATAGCATTGAAAACTTAACTTAGAATGAGATATATTAAAAAAGACTATTCAAAGAAGTGATTAATTTGTTAATTTTTATTGTTTGCCTGAGGAACTGTACGTCTGTACAGAGGGCCTAATTTTCAAGAGGTCAACCATTGTACGCGAATTTCTCATGCCCTGTAAGTAGTGTCCTTATCGTATTACTTTTTTTTTTTGTACAGGTTTTACCGTAAATAATTACAACGTATATATCGTTTTAAATATAATGACCTTGCCTAAATAATTATTGAGTTAAACAACATATGCCACTGGATATTAGTCCGCTTTGTCGTTGATCGTGAGATGAAGAACCAGCAACCCTTGACCCGTCACTACGAGACAGCGCAGGGTAAGGGTTGCCTTGCACGTTTTTTGGACTAGTCGTACTTAGGTGTTCTTCGAAATCGTCGTATTCGCTGAGTTCGCCTTCATCGGTGCCCGAATCGTCTAAACACGGGGATAACATCAAGCCACCCTGATCGTTTAACCATTTGGTCACGGCTTCCGTGATCGGTCCCGGGACTGCTGCTGCATTTATAGGTGATGCCAATTCGAGTTTTCCCACTTCGTCCTGTCTAATTTCGTTTTCCGTATCTGAATTTCCGGTGTTCACCGCCGTCGCAAACGTTTCCTCTTCCACGGATTCACAAGAATCGAGGGATTGTGTCTTGGTGAATTTAAATTGAATATGGTCTGTTGTAGACCTGGGAGTGCATTCCAACGAACAGAATTCTTCTTCTTGGATCCACTCTGTCTCCGGGCTGATAGACAACTGAATGATTTCTTCTGAAATGTTTTCTATCTCTGGTTTCGATTGATCCTCTTTGAGTGGTTTTGTAGTTTCTAATTTTTCTTGTTCTGGTCTAGCTTTGTTCTTTTTGGCGTTTAGTTTTTTTATAATGGCCGGTTCTTTAGCAATTTTAGACGATTTCTTACTTCCTTCGTGTTGATTTTTCGGTAAGTCTTTACTCTTCGTCTTAATGACTGATTCTGTAGTAGATTTTTCTCGCTGTTTGCTCTTTTTATTTCTACTTTTTTTAGTCGCCGGCTGTCCACTGCTGCCACTAACAGTTTGTGGTTTTTCATGTTTATTTTCTGTAGACCCTTTGACCATTACTTCACTATTCGGAGAGCTAATGCCCGAGTCAGAGTTTTCTGCTGAATAGCTGGGAGCCGGTTCGGTATCTGGTTGGTCATCGGTGATCTCTACTGCTTCAGCTTGTTCTTCTGGTATAACCTGGTAACCAATCGGGGCTAATTGTTCCGCGTATTGTGGTATTGGTTGGTAATATGCGGCAATTTGATCCGGATGATGGTGAACGAGGATCGGTGTTCCGTGCAGTATCTCGAATGGTGGTGGACATTCCATATGAAATGGTGGTGCGCTGTGGGACAACTGGACGGGTATGACATTCACAGGTGTCGAACCTCCACTATTGTTTGTTAGCACGCCCGAATCAGAGGTCTTTTCTGAGTCCAGTACGAGGTCACAACTAGCACCTGATTGACTTTTTTGTTCTTCCGAACTAGAGTCTGAATATTCATCAGTTACCTAAAAATAATAAAGGTTAATTCAATTAAATACTGTAAATAAATAAATTAATAGCTAATCACTCGTCGAGTTATTTCAATTTAAAACACTAAATATTTATACAAACCAATTTAATTAATATTTTATTTTTATTTTAAAAAAAACTTTTAAACTCTTATAGTTTATTTTTATTCGTAATTTAATAAATATTTGATATGTTACCTTTCTATTTAAATTAGTATTCAATACACTTTAGGTTGGTAAAAGTAGTAACATTTAGTATGTACAGTTTATAAAATGATTTTTTTTATTTCTTTTAATTTTAATGTAATTGATAAAAACAATTTTCATAAAATACATTTATAAAATTGTAATATTTACAGGTGTTTTGTTCCAAAAACTGAAACGTATATACGTTATATATTTAATTTTAAACTTGATATAAGCCCTTTTCATTTTTTCTATGTCCCTATTATATTTATTATTTAAAAATTAAATTTAAAATGCAATTTTTTTTTAGAATTAATAATGATGTAGCTATATTTATTATAATTATATCACGGTTTAAAATATAAATAATCGCTATTTGATACCGATTACTGTGATAGACGTTCTCATGGCATACATAAATGTATTTTTAAACCACATTATTGACCTTTTGCCTTTAATTCTCTTGTGTTTGAATAGTGTTGGTGTTTGCCAGAGTAACTAATTCCTTTTTTATTTTTTATTTTTGAAATGTCAATTGTTAGTTATTTCCACGTCACTTGTTCCTAGTGGAATGTCAATTTGATTTTATTTTTAAATAATATAATATAATGCAACAGTATGGTAAATCAAAATGTTTAGAACGTCTAGTGATATTTTGCAAGGAAAATAATCATAAAATATCGTTTTTAAAAGTTGTATAGTTCTATATTATTCATATTATAAGTAGAATTTAACTAAACATTAATCATATAACATTGATCAGACATTCAATCTAACTGATAAGAGAGTTGGTTTTATGAGTATTTTTAGTTTATACTTAGTATAACTTACGTCTCCACGCTTTCTACGCTTCTTTTTCTTACGCCGTTTTCCGTTGGTGTAATCACAACTAATTGAAGGCGAAGGAGGAGACTGTGGTTGTGGAACTTGAATGCTTACACCTATATAATTAAAAATACATTTTCCTGAATTAATACCTATATAATTTAAAAAAATTTTTTTGTATTAAATAGGTACTAATATAAATAATAATTATATCATTTGCAAAATTATGTTTCATTAATCAAAGTTTATTTTCATTATATTATTTAGTGTTTTCTTTTTAAACTATTCTCTCTAATTTTCTATTTAAATCAGATAGCGAAATATAAGGTATATTCCGGTTACCCAATAAACGTTCAGACTTTTGAACTATTTATAGATTTAAAACAAATTGTCTTTATTCATGATTTCTATACACGGTAATTTAGTAGAAATATATTCAATACTTATGCTCAGTATGTGGCTGGTTGTACAGTAGAAATGTAACAACTAACAATTATGTGCATTGTGATTTAAGGTGTACATAATTTTTCAAAATAAATGTTTTTGAATCACTCCATGAAACCTTATTAATACATGGGACATTCGACCGAGAAAAAAAAATTTCTGTTCAATTTATTTCTGATAATTTGACGTTTTCAATCTATTGAATTTATTCGTATTATTTATACAATATACAAGTATGTGTATATAATAAACAATATAATATTCTATAATGACGTGTGATATAATCAAAAAAACTAAATAATGTACAAAAGAAAACAGAGATTGTAGATAGCAATAATTAGTAAAGTAATTTAGAAATCTCAAGTCATTAAATCACAAACTAAAAATCATAAATCGTTTCTATGATTTTTAACTAGTAAATTATTTTTATAAACGTGTAGGTATAGAAATTCACCTTCCGTCAAGCTAGAAAAAAAAATGCTAGTTATAAAAATAGTAATTTGAAATTATGCCTTTTGGCTCCGTTCCACGACAGCGTATAGAATAAAGAACAATAAGACCGGTTAAAAAACACCGTGTTCATTTTATCCAACGTTCATAAAATAAATATGAATAAAAAAACTGTGGCTGAAACGGGAAAACTTGGCGACGAGTTCAAACAGGAAATAATGAGAAGAATAGACACGTTGTCTATGTCATGATGTCGGGAGCTGTGATATTGATTGGTAACATTCATCACCTAATAATATTACGGCTGTGTGCTAATCGTCGGGATGTAAGTTATGTACCAGCATATTTTCTGGCTATCGAAGCCAAAGTTAAATTAGACGTATGGAATGTTTGGCAATGGCTAGCACGTAATCTAAATGGACATGAACTATAAGTTAATAATATTCAGGTCATCATCATCATCGCCGATCGTAGTGTGTTTCGTTGATTAGTACTTGATAATAAAATTATTACCTAATACCATTTAATCGCTACCGAAACTTATAGACATCTCGGACAGTTAACTACCTGCAGTGTATTCAACAGATATCATAAAAATAATATCGAAAGATCTTACATCGACCCAGTTTTAATTGGGCGCTAAATGGCAATGGAATAATATATAATATGCCTACTTCATGTGCAACGTGTACTTAAAGTATATTATATTAAATGATCTACGTTTATTGCCCACACACCTATCGCCATTTATTTATTTTTTATTAGTCGGAGGAAATATTTTTGTCGGGGTTTTGTCACTCACCATTATAATTGTACATAGGAGCGCCAAACATATATCCGGGGTACATATTATATGGCTGCATTGACTGATACAAACTCTGCTGATCGTCCAGACTCGATTCCTGGGCACCACCGATTCCCACTTCTGAACTCTGAGCACTGCCGTTCTGTAATAAATTCAAAATTAATTTTAATGTTGAACAATAAACTCGAACACCTATGGATTCGGAAGTGATTTCCGGGCCTCACGTCGATCGTAGATCATATTATTATCAATAATAATATATTATAATGTGACCAACAATGGAAAGAATGATTGCGGTGGTCAGAGACCGATAACAACATTAAAACAAAATAGATCGTCACCTGCTGAGCGTCGGCAGTCGTTGATCTCTTGTGGTATCTGTTATTCGGCTGGTAAACGGTACCACCGGATATCCAGTCGGAAGTTGCGTTCGAAGGGTTGTACCAGTCGACGGGTTGCATCGGCATCGGCTGGTACAGCATCGGATGTCCGACAGGCGGAAAATGACCCGGTGGAGGTCCCATCAGCCTGGTCGCTATACCAGTGTACGGATCGTAGATCTCGTATCCGCCGCCTGCGGGTCCAACATAAATCATTTATCTAAGTATATTGTTGTGAGCCGTCGGTCGAGGACATTTACATTGTATGACAATGAGTTCGAGTTAAATCAAACGTATTGTGTCAAAACAACTGTTTATAGTTTTTAATTAAAACAATTAAATAAAAAAAAAAATCCCTCTTTAAATTTAGTACCTACTATTATAGTTATACCTTATACGTTGTCGTTATTATGGCGTACCTTGCATTCCACTTATTTAAGTACATACAGGAGATACGTATTGACACATAGGTAATAGACGGACACTGTTTGAGTCCTGGCGTGGGAGGAAATATTTAATTTTATAATATGGTAAATTTCATTTATGTGAATACTTTTAAGCAAAGTTACTGTAGGGGTAGTACAACTTTCCTATACATTTATAATATGTGTAGGTACATTCAATCTACTAATATTGAACTTTGGGTTCTTTAAAGTGAATAAACTCACAACGAAAACCACTAATAAAATAAACACTTAAGATTGAGAAAACGATAAATTACACGCGCACGTAAGAACATCTCGAATTGAATGAGCTTTAAGTGTTAAGCTATATAGGAGCGAGTGCTATATGCAATATGGTTTCTCGTTTAGTTATATATTGAAATCAGTGTTCATGAAATGTTTAAAAACCATTATTAATTACATTTATGCGTTGATATATTTCATATTGTATCAACGGTAATAGACAGTTTATTGTCCATGAATAAATAATAATTGTATAATACCTATGGCGTAAACTACATTTCATACTTTATGCAGTATAATAAAACAAATAATATTCACTCAAAAGTAAGTTTGAAAGATGCTTATTTCAACATATTATTATGCATGAGGTAATAAAGTATTATAATTTATAATCATTACGTACCACTAAGGATGTACATCATAGACGGGTCAACATATTCACCGTAAGCACACAACTCGTCCAAAGGGTTGATATCAATTGAAACACCGTCTAAAACACAAGGTAATATCGATTACAAATTTGTCCTATAAAATAATTTTAATGTTACTGACCTTCATTTTCATTTAAAACTTCAGTAATGACTGGTACACTACTGTGCTTGCGTCTTCCCAAGTAACCTTTTTTGAACAAAACGTCTTGTCTAGGAGTTGTGATCTTTGTGTATTCATCTATAAAAATAAAAATTTAATAATAGTTTGGCAGTACTTTCGTTTATAACAAATTAATATATTAAACAAAATGTTTAATTGAAACTATTAACCATGTATAAAACTAAACGATAAAAGCAATTTTGTCATATCAAATTCAAAACATGTTGGTTTATTGTAGGTACCTACTATTTAACTGTTTATAAAACCATACCATTTGCTTTGTATATTCATATACAATATAAGTAAAACTGACTAATTAATATATGAATGTAATGTATATAATATAATGAAGTTTAAATATTTTAATTTAAATAGTTAAATATTATTGTTTAAGAATCACAATCTGTATTTATTTTTCAAATTTAAAATATTCACTTAATGTATTTCTTGGGATTGCCTAATAATAAACCACATTTATTGAAATGATATAATATAATATTGTTTAAAACATTTTAATAATAATAATATATTGTTCGTCATGTTTCATCTACGTGATCTATAAATATATTGAGGAAACAATGTTGATAATATTACGTACACGCATTTGAAACAGCGGAATCAATAAGGGACTGGGTCATTGTCCTTAAGTGCCCCATGTACCACACCATTACCCGCAAAAATATATAAGAGCGAAATCGTGTATCATTAAAATCATTCAATGAAAATTTAATGGATATCAACTAGCTAGGAAATATAATATTATTAAATATACTCTAACCGTCATGCTTTGCTAATAAATTTATAATAATTTCAGTTGATTCATGTGATTTTATTTTTTCAAAAACTATACAAACCAATCTCGGTTTACTTGATTGTCGATGGATTTTTTAATAATATTCTAAGTGCATTTATTACACAAATATCGTGTTTCAGAACTCTCGAAATGTTTAGAATATTTTATTGTTACGTTATGAATTGTATTACAGATATGTAAGTCAATATTGATAGGAAGTTTTCTTCTTCTACATATAAACGTAAACGGTGATCCCAAACTTAACAAATATAATAATATTATATTCTATAATAGAAAATTCTATTTATTTATTTTATTGTTTAAAACAATGTTATTATTTTCTCATCAATAACTGCAACTATTTATTTATCGAGATTGTACATGAAAAAATTCATGTTACATAATATTTGTATTTTGACAGATCAAAATGTACATTACGCTGGAACTATTATATAACAATTGTAAAATAAATATTTATAAAGACATTCGTGGATTGAATTTAAAAAATAAATATTGTTTTTTTTTTGCAGTTACTAAAGATTTATTTTATATTTATAAATATTAAACATTGTTTTGAATATTTAAAAGCTTAGAATATATTTATCTGTTTATAGGGACTCATATGTATTTTGTACATACAGACATGAGATCATGACATGAGCACAAAACTACCTTGAAGTAAACCATTAGTTATATGTTATGGATTTTAGTTGTCAACGGCCCAATAAAAATAATCTATAGGTATGTATATTATATAATATTGTTTGGCATAAATTATTATTTAAATCTGATCTCTGTAGTATTTAACGATCTTGAGCTCGTAAAGGTCACCAGTTCGATCGTGTCAAAGTGTCTAGACTTAAAGAAATAATAGAATACAGAATGTACCAAATTTTCAAAACATCTTTCGATAACGCACCTCTACCCACGCTGTTCAAAACTGTAATTGATCCAGGGGTATGAATCTGGAATTCACTATACAGTCCCACCACTCCCACCTAGGAAAACACGGAGCCCTTTGAACAGCATACAAACGGGTCAAAGAAATACTTTTTAAGTGGGAAATTACAGAAAATCCTCGTTAAGACTGTGGAAATCCAGTACAAACTCTAAAGTATATTTTCCAGGAATAATGTTCCCTGAGAAAATTCCAAGAATCTCGGGATGAGTGATGACACATCCACAATGTTCCCTGATCGCATACTATGGAAAGAATTATTGGATTTAGAACTTTAATACCTACCCAGACACTAATAATGACTGTAATTATGCCATTATATTATTTTCTTTATCATATTTTTAACAGTGTTGACAAATTTACGTAATTTTATCGTATAAATATAATTTTAGTTTTTACATTATACGAACTTTGTAGTAAATTACATGCCACACCACAAATAAATAATTATTTAGAACTATTTAGATGCTTAATGACGTCTACGCCAAGCCACTGTATATAATATTTATATTTTAGTAGGTCCTCAACTCATTTTTTTTTTTATACAATTAATAAATTATCACCTTCAATTTATATTATCATTGTCAGTACATTTAAAATGTTCAAACATATACATTTTGTTTTATAATTTATAGTTGTAGAATTTTGCATTATGTCTACCTATTCTATAAAATATGGTACCTAATAAATATAATTTTGAATGGCTTTTATGAACATCTCGTAAAAATAAAGAAAGTGTACATCTAAGTATAACATTTCAGATTCTAAAATAATGATTATTACAAAAAAAAAAAATCAAAGGCCAGTAAGTTAATTTATATATAAATTTTATGTGCACTGTGTAAGTTGTTTAATGCCGTCATAAAATTATCCTACACATAACGCTTTTATACCTATGAAACATTTTATGAACTCAATAATTATCTTTCATATTTAACTGGGAAAAAAAATTGGCTTGAATATCTTATTAAAATAGGCGTTTTTGACAAGCGTTTTTACACGGACTAAATACCTCTGGGTTTTAATGTTAATTTATGTACTTATATTTTATTCATAAAAATAAATTTCACATAACTATTAGTGAAATCAAAACAAATAGTTTATAATTTTAAAATATGAAATTCTCTATGAAAAGATGAAATTATTAGGTAGTAATTTTATAAGGTAAAGGGATATATTTAGAACAACAGTTTCTAAATGTTCTTTGGGATATGGACAATGTTATACCATCCCTTTCACAGTTTCACCACAGTTAGGTCACAAATGAAAAATGAAATATAATATAATATAATTTTTTTTTTAAATATAGTGCTCACTGATAAAATATTACGTATAATATGATACTATTATGCTTTTACTGTTTTAGATTCTGGGCGAAACGAGGAATGTATTGATTTTTCTAAGGGTTTTGCTTTTGTATTTTCTATTGTGAACGATGTTTCTGGTCGGAGTGCTGATTTTTAATTGGACCAAGCGTCAAGATCGGGCCTAGTTGATACCTACTATCTATACATGGACTCTATAGAAGAAGCCATTCATCGATTTTTCAGCAGTTTCCACGAGCGCGAAGAGGAACACCATATTATACAGATAACTGTTTAAGAAATGTAAGCAAACGCTGTTTTAACCCAGTACTTAAAAAAACGTTGTTTTGTAATGACTTGAAATCATATAAAAAATATTCAAAATATTTCAAGAAGTTAAGTTTTTGTAATAATCTATAATAGTGCCTTCCGTTAAGAGAAAATAGCCTTAGTTATTTAATGAATGAGTTGTAAATAATGCTTACATTGTACGCAACCTATATACGATTACGAGCTCATTTCGTACTTACACGCTTCCGAGTACATCGTCACATTGACCGTTATCGGCGAGAGCTTTTTTCTGACCACTTTAATGGGCGGTCAACTATCAGCTTTATTCATTAACTTGCGTGACCATGGCCAAGTCGTACGCTGGCTAAACTCATTATTACACGAGTATAATGTGTATTGTGTACCTACACCCCGCTTTTGTATTACTATTATTTTTTTAATCATCTCGCTATCCCACGAACGACGTCTCTACACTTAATAGTTAATATTGTTATTTTTGCGTATACTGCTTATAATATAGGTACTCAAGTATCTTTGTAGATTATTATAATAACATGTAAGTATTATATGGCTTTAGAACACAGAATTTTTAACTCCAAGCAAATTGCACCTAATATCATTGACGTTTTATCTACCATTTTATGTGAAAACATTTAAATTAAATTAACTTAAATTACTTTTTTTGAGATATTTAAAATTTCCCAAAAGAAAGAATAAACGTATAACGATTCAATTCCTTGCTGGCCGATTTCCACCTACCTATATTGGTCTTTAAATGTTAAACAAAAAATGATAGTGTACCTACAATAAATTACGCGTTTACTCACCGTCAATTTCGCTCATAACTGTTATTATATTATATAAGTACTTACCTACCTATAAATGAGAAAATATACATATACAGACGATGATCAAAACTCTTAGTTATAGCAAAACAAAACGTCGCAACTCACAAGCCGTTTATTTACAAAATGCTAGGTAGGTATACTTAAATAATTATACAACCTATACTTATATAATATGGATTTTATCAGTGGCAACTATATTACGATAATTGTTTTTACGCGTGTTCTGAAAATCGACAAGAGAGGTGGGGGTGGGTCGAATAAAACCAACTTTTCTGTTTAAATTTTTTTTTTCACTTACCCTCGTTAAACGTGACTGTCGAAGATTCCACTTGATTATTCTGTGGACTGACACCCGTTGAATTGTTATTTCTGTTCGGCAACTGATGCTGTTGGTACGTAGTTTGGTGTTGAGTGTGATGACTTCGTCTGCCTGCCGCCGCGGCAAAATTCGCCGGTTTCTGGTCCGTCGCGTGACGGCCAGACGGTTGTTCGGCAGCCGCATATGGTTTATCCGCTGTAACATAGTTATATAATGTTTTTTTTTATTATTTCCGGTTAGTCGTAAAATATAATAGTGATAATGTCCTGAAATTATTGTTATTTTTGTAATCACAAACGCTGTTATAAAATATGTATTGTTGTATTGTTATTATTGCAATTGCATAGGTATTAACTCTTTTTATTTTTCATATACGTCTGTCCGAATAGCGACGACAGACGTAATTCTGCGGTTTTACATATTTTACGTCATGTCTTTGTACCTGCATAGTGAGTAGGTATATGTCATGGACCATGATGGTAGCTGTACAATATTATATCGTAATAATATTATTATTACATTCTAGTGGTAATGTTATACATATATGCATATATATTATCATTGATTATAAAATATATACTAATATATATAACCGATGATATTAAATATTATAGATTATAGATATTATACTATCTACAGACTATACACCCGGGTGGTGAATTAGAATTTATAAAATTATTTTTTTAATGTAGTGCTAAACCCGAACAGATGGCACCTCGAGAGTATTGTTACATTTTATCTTCTCAGTTTTCGGGTTCAGAAAATGGGTAGGTAGCATACAACTTATTTACAATGTACAAAAATCTATGCACGTGTTAATGGACCCAGTAATTTCGAAGATCGTCTCAGACAAAATCACTTTCTTTTATAAATATAGGAGCTGATGTATGTACATATATGTATGGAAATTCCGGTAGTACACATAAAATGGTGCATTCAGCATCTCTTAACAATTGCCGACACGCACGTTTATTTGATCACCAATGAATCTATCATTTATATCGGTGTCGTAGCCAGGTAACGGTTTGACATTAACCGTTAAGTGATCTGTATATGTAACAGAGACGACCTAACCATGGATGAATCTTCCTTGTGTATACTATAATTAATGGTATTTAGGTAGGTACTCTCTAAATTTGATTGTAAAATGTTTAGCAATAGGAACTGGATTTAGTATAATATACGGCACTATAATGATGGTTAACACTTTCGTTATAATATTATACACAATAGCCTATCAATAGGTACTAACATTTAAAAATCAGGAGAAAAAAATAATTGCGCTTAAACGAATGCGGCTTTTAACGTAAAGTGTAAAAAACAAATATTAATTAATTAGAAAAAAAACACAACAAAATGTCTTAATACAAAGTAAATATTATCAAAGGTCCACCATTAAAACAGCTAGTGAGTATAATATCATATTATAATGGCAAAGGTGATCTTTATCATCACTCGACACCGGGTTCAAGTTTAAAGAAAGTTATCGTTAATAAATGTTCACAGGTGATTATAAATTTATAAACTTAAATTATTGATGTATAATTTATGAGAACTCCTTGGCAACTTCTAAGCCCTATACACCTATACATTACAGCGTTTGAAGACGGTCATATAAATAGCCAGCCCAAATGGTTATACGGTCCGTGCGATAGAATTATTTTTAGTGTCACACAAGTAGATTTGACATTTAAATATGAAAAAAAGTGAATTTCTCTCATTAATCATTTTAACAATGCGTTCCTGCAATGATTGTCTAACTCCATAAATGCGTAATGGATGACAAATTGTTTTCCAACAGTAAATGGTATATGTATAGATAGGTACTTATAATTTGCACTACCTATAATTTGTTCCGGAATAATAATCCTCCATACACATTAAGCCTACTAGAGTTTATTAGTTTATCTATTAAAGACGTATAACAATGTTTTTTAAAAATATTATACAAACGTATTATCCACGATATCGTATATGACTCGAGTAATGTTATGTTCATTTTAAATAAGACAATTAATACATCAGAACCGCCTTTAGATAAGCGTAGGTTAATATATATTTAAAGGTTTTTTTCAGAAATTATATAAAGTTATTTCTCTGACAAAATAGTACATTTTAACGAAATAAAAAATTCGGCTCTGTATAGTATGTCTTAAAAACATTTGAAATATAATCCATGTTCCTAGCGAGTAATGATCAAAGGACATTTTCATAATTGTTTAACCTCGTTACCTCGTTGGGTATAATAATTGTATGTTATAAAAGGGAACAGAAAAATATTTGTAGCATAGCACATTATTTTTGTTTAAAATCTATTTTTGCCTAAACTTCAAATGCATGCAAGAAGAGAAAAAAACAATACAGACTTCTTTTAATATATTATATATCTTAAAATGTCTCTTAGATAAATTTAACTATTTAAGCATAAAATATTTGTATAATTGTATAAGCAAAACAATTAATCAGTGACAGCGTTAATTAGTTTTCATACTACTAAATAAATAAATGTTTGGATTATTATGGGTCACCTTGATCGTTTCCAATAAAGGTCGTCGGTCAAAAATTCTAACAGCATTTTTGTAATCAAACTGTATTCGACCGGAAAATATTGAATTCGACAGGTGTTTAAAATACTATTGAAATAAAAACAAAATCGATTATATTTTGAATCCATTTAAATTTAAATTAAATTGAAGGACCGAGAAGTTTTAATTTTAATTTATAAACTTTATGACACAGACCCCTCCCCTCCCATCCCATTAACATCTATGTCCATAAACAAAATATACTATATTCAAAAGTTCTACGACATAATTATTTCTTATAACGTGGTTTATAGTTCACAATTAATAATAGTATGGTTTATTATTATAAATTTTAACTTAAATAAAATAATATTATTGAAATATTTACATTTTGTTATTTTTAACTTTATAATACTTGAAAACAGGTTAATTTTTTTTCAAAATCTGTTAGAACGATCATATTTTGGAACTTTAATAGTATTGTTCGAACTTCTAATTACCTATTGTATAAGATTACAATAATAAATAATAACAATTAAAACATAAATTATATGTATTAATTGCTTTTAAAAATACATTTAATTAATTTTCATCTAATTTAATTAACACGAATGACGTTAAACTGTTCGAAGTTCAAACATAATATTATATTAGGACACAATATTACTATACACCTAATCAACATTTTTGAATCTTTAAGTTGTTTTATGTTTTAAATTTTTTAAATTTTAAATTTAACATTATTATTTATTACGTTTAACGATTTTAATTACGACAAAATGGCTTATCATTTAATGATATCGCTAAATAATCATAAACGTCTAATTACGAAATGTTTATTGATGCTTTTAACAAAAGGTTAACATATCATATTATATTGGTTTTTTTTCGGTTAGGTTCTAGCATTGATTAAATTATCAAATTTATGTTTCTTAAATTAATGTTATCTGTCTTAGAACATGATGCTCTGTATCATGACCCGTAATATTATATTCATATAATTATAAATTATGTACATATTCAATCAATATTTGGCACATTAAGGAGATTTAGAGTTTTATGCTGCAGTAGCCAGTAACTATACAAATTACAAATTTAACTTAGGTGCTAAATAGTATTATGACATAAATCTATATTAAATATAAATGTACTATATATAGAGAAAATGGTAAAATGTAATTATTTTTTTTAAACAGTCGAGAAGCTTATAAAAACAAGTACATATTTTAACATTATCATGACAATTTTAGTTAACCACGGAAAAATTGTTTTTCTGTGACAGTATAGGTACTCTGTTCAGAACTGTTTCCAGAATAAAATGATTTACAAAGTAAACAGTTTGGATTTCTACTAATATAGTATATTATATTACATTTTAAGTAGGTTATTCACTTATCATGGCAATACCAGTTCATGGTAGAGCATAAGTCAATGGGTTAAAAAAAATTTAACAATTATTTTTTTTAATTAAATATATTTTGTTATCTGTTTATTTATTTATTTCCTAAAACCATATCGAATAAAAAACTGATGAAACATTATGTAAATTTTTTAAAAACTTGTACCAATTTCAAGTTATTATATTATTATGATTAATAATAATTATGCATCGATAACCAATATTAACTTGTAATTAGCTTAAAAATTGTGGTTTAGTCGCATACTATTCATATGTAGTTAAATACGAGTATCTTAATATTATGAAATCTAAAATATAATCGTGCATTTTCCAGTAATAGTGTTAGTTTTTATTAAAATTATATGTATAGAAACCATACTTAAATTAAAAATTATTGAAATGTATTTTTTTAATTAGGTACCTATTACCTATTTAAGAAACAAAATTATCATCAGCATCATTCTCGTTCTAGGTTTTGTAGACTATATACATAATTTCATAATGTTAAATGCATTAATTAACTAATATTTAACATATTATTATTTTGTATTTTATATTATTTTAGTTTATTTTTATTTTTTATATTTTGACACAGGATTGAACGGTCTAGGGGTGTATTCATTGAAAATATATAAATAGGAGGTATATTTATATAATATAATATAAATATAATATAAAAGGTTGATCTTTTCGGTAACCCGTGGCTTTTGCGTGGTTGGCATTTAAGAAAACATAGAACCACATTTCACAATAATACAAAGGGTCGTTATAAGGTTCTATTCATTGTTATTTGTATAATATTAATATAAGATGTAAATTTGCGGGGGCGAGGCATTTTCAAATGTATACAACAACTCTTCTTATTCGTGTTGTATTTTATCAAAATATGATAAATATGGATTGTTCCTATATCATGAAAACACCTATACAAACATAATAGTTTATTTTTAATAAACATTGTGACATGCTATACCATAATATGCAGTTGTAGAGGGTTATTACGTACCGATCATCGAACCTATCATAGTAATATATTAAATCGTATTGTTATTTATTATACGTCGATGGCCAAATCAAAACGGTTCATATTTTCCTCTGTTTTCGTTCACTATTAAAGTTTTTCCTACCGGCGAACATTTTTAAATAAGAATAACTATATACAAAAAACTTCCCGCTAACATATATAAAAGAAATATTGTCCAATACGAATACTGGTGGAGACGTTTCGTATACGCAACACAATTTCACATCGATTTAACGTTTTATACAAA